CCGTGACCACTTTTGCTTTTTTTTAGGGGGTGCAACATTCTGCACTGCTTTCTTAAGTCTTTTGAAAGAGATGCCCCTACAGGGTGAGTTTGTTCTGCTTCTCAGGTTCAAATGGCAACCCCGCAATGCCTGAGTCATTGCACTACATCAGCAACATCCCAAATGCTTATGAGCAGGCTATTCAATCTGTGGGAAGAATTATTCAGGACTACGACACTGATAAGCTGTTTCCTGTCCTTGGGTTTGGAGCTCGGATTCCCCCTGATGGGCAGGTGTCCCACGAGTTCTTTGTGAACATGAATCCATCTAACCCATACTGTAATGGTGTCTCTGGTAATGTACAACATATTTTAAGAATGGAGAGAAAGTAATATTTTAACTGATTTCAGAATTCCTGAGAAACTTCCTAGGTCATTTGAATTCATAAAAGTAAGGAACATCTTTTTGATGCTTTTCAAGTCATGTTGGTCTTAAATAGTTTCATGAAAGTGTAATTTATAGTGTTAAACATGAATACACTGATACGTCATAAAGACTTTGGTGTAAAGTACTTGGTGATTTTATGTATTGTGAATTACACAGCGTTTTAGTATGATTTGGGATTTACGTGGTGGTCAGTCCAAACATTACTGTCTTCTGGGTTGTAGCGCTATGTAGTCTGGTAGAAGTTTACCAATGTTTCAGAGGTCCTTCCTGTTTCTATCATTAGAGCAGTGAGTCACCCTGATAATGGAGGCAGAAAGGAACACTACAATGCTGATAAACTTATAGTGTCCCATGTGTATACTGTTGTGAAGACTGGGTTAGGGTATTACAGAAGGACAGATTGCCACATTGCTACTGAGTTGCTTTATTACCCTTCAGGTGTGCTGGAGGCTTACCGACGCTGCATCCTTCAGGTGCAGCTATATGGGCCCACCAACTTCTCGCCTGTTATAAACCATGTGGCTCGCTTTGCCAGCACATACCGAGATGGCTCCAGTTACTTCATTCTGCTGATCCTTACAGATGGTGTCATCACTGACATGCCACAGACTATTGCGGTGAGATGTGGTCATGGGGCCTGAGAATTTATGAGTAAAAATGGGTCAGCTGTATTGTGGTGATTTTTAAGCTGTTGGTTTTAGGCTACAGCTTTCTCTCACCCAAAACAAATGCATGTTCACCGTTCATAAGGTGACTTTTAAAATGAATATTTGTTGCATGAGTACAGTGATGAACAAATTATATATTCTTGTTACTTGACTATTATAAGATTTAAAAAGGGAGGATTTCACTATTAGGGCATGAAACCATTCCAAGATGGGAATTTAAAAAGGGAGGATTTCACTATTAGGCCATGAAACCATTTCAAGATGGGAGTGTTCGCAGAAATTAGGTTGCCATTTGAAGCCATGGAAAGAAAAGAGTATACTTGAAATTTCCTTTGAAATGCCTACAGGTGCAGTTTGTCTTTTGGGAAAATTATGTGATTGCCTAAGCTGATGTTCCTGGTTCTGATTGCTGAATTAAAATACAACATTTATTTCAGAAGAAGTACTGGAATTTTTAAACTTCCAGAGAGCAATATTGAAGTCCAAGGATTATAGCATCAGATGGAATGTTGAAGAGGGGAAAAACATGAAAAAAAGGAATTGTAATTGATTCTAAAGTGATATATTCCCAGGATTTTACTTGAAGATATTAGGAAAATCGTGAAATACTGAGTCTGTATAGCTAGTTTTCAGGTCTATAAGTGAATGTTTTACCTCCTTGGTATGAAATATGAGTACCATCTTTTGAACAGTGACTCTCAGTGATGCAGTCCACTAGTTGTTGAACAGCTATAAGAAAAAGGGATGAGAACAGACAAGTGACATTTTGAATTTCTAATGTTCATTATCTCACAAAATGCAGGATATTCAGTGTGCTTAGAAGCAAAGAAGATTAGATTGTTTCTGTTTTGTTTAACTGCACTGTAAGTTGTGTTGCAAGTGAACTGCTGACACTGCTGGCATTTGAAGAGCTTCAGTGTGCATTGAACCTCCCATATCCCATGTCCTTGCTTTAATATTGGCTAGAGTTCAGGTACAGAGGATGAGGTCAGATGGCAAACACACTGGGCTACATCAGTTGTGAGTACCAGGTGGGAAGTAAGTCATTACCAGCGGTTATTACAAAGTATACTAAGATGTGTTTATAATAAACTTGGAAAGGTAAAAGGAGGTAACTTGCTCAAGCCAAAAGCAACAGTAGTTAAATTAGTATGAAATCAGCCCAAAGTATTTAATCAATAAGAAATCAATTCAAAGTGACAAATGTCATCAGCCCAACAGCAACAGTATCTGAGTCAAAATATGTGTCCACATTAACAATGTCTGAATTAATATGACGTAAAACAAAGTAGGTGGTAATTATTCTCTGTCATATGAGACATATACAGGTAATAGTGCCCTAAACAGTTGTCAAAGTATACTCACCGAATCAGATCACTTTAACCCCTGTAGGCAGCCTGCATTATCACATTGTTTGAAGTAGCATGAGACAGGTTTACTTAGTTAAAAGCAGGCACAGTTAATAAAAAGACCACATAAACCCAGTTTTTAGGACCAGAAGAGAAAACCATAATCTGTTGAAATACTTCTAGCTTGTTCTGGATCCCATCCCATATGTTGACAGACAAGTCTCCTGAGCTCATGTGACAGAAATACCAGTAGGTGTAGTATTTTGTATTGTTTCTTTCCCTCTGCAATTTCTCAGGCAATTGTGTCAGCTTCATTGCTGCCAATGTCCATCATCATTGTGGGAATTGGAAATGCGGACTTCGGTGCCATGGAGGTGCTGGATGCAGACACCACAGGATTGTCATCGGGTGGGGTCCATGCCGCCCGGGACATCGTGCAGTTTGTTCCATTCAGGAAGTTTGCAACAGCCAGTGATCCTCACATGGCTAAAATCAGGTTAGCCAAGGAAGTGCTGGCAGAAATACCCAGGCAGTTCACTGACTACATGAAAGCAAACAACATCGCTCCCAAACCTCCGCAACTTAATGTGCTCGTTGTTCCGCCTGATCCAGAACTTATTCCAGTGGCATAAGACTGCTTTAACTAGCAATGCTGAAGTAAACATTTGCTGTGGTCACATTATATTTTAAGTATTATTATTATGTGGATATTTTAAAATACTTGAGCTTCAGTCACTGGATATGGCAGTACGTTTAGATGTGAAGAGAAAGGAAATACCAAGATTGGAATGAAACTTGATAATTGAATATAACTTTTGAATCATTCATAAAACTAAGTGATGTCTGCACATGGGGATTACTGATTTGAAGTATGGAACTAGGTAGTTGACAGGAGGGAGCACTTACCAGGACACTGACTATTAAATGTTGCTCTACACAGTATTGCACTGTATCATGAGAGAGTTAATATGTGTGTGCCTTGTAAGTTCTGCACCAACTACATACACCTGTATACTGTTTTATATATTTTATAACCTTTTTGTCCCTTATGACTGCAGTGAACTGGGAACATATTAGTATGGGAATAACATGAATGCTTCAATTTGTGCTTATCACTTATTTTGTGTACAATACGTGAAGGATTCTGTTGCATATTGGTTTATTTGTTTTTATTGTAGTCACACTGTTTTTTTCCACAAAAGTATGGAATGTTTCAGATAACACGTTTGCCAATAGTGATGTTTGCAGTGAGTCTGGGTTACAGTGAATGAAATTTGCTGTACCAGGGGCTCAGCTTTTTTCTACCCTGAGTGTAAATTAAGTTGTCATGTAGCCCCACTTCATAATGCTTCTGATCAGTCACAAATTCTTCTCCTGTGTGCCATGTTATAAATGCAAGTAGTGCATTCTTGCACCACCTTTACATTGGAATTGTGAGAGTCAGTGCCATATGTTGGACACCAGTGGGTTAGAAGGAATGTCCTACATGGTAGAATCAGATTTTAATGTTGTATGGCAAATGACTTACATTCACTGACTTTATGGAGTATAGTCCTTGAGAAGCTGATAATCACTCAGCTGGTCAAAGAATTCCTGCCTTTCATGGAACCTGAGGGTTCGTTATTACCTTGTTAAGAATAGCCCACTATTGGTTGCTCCACTGAGCCAATTGAACCTAGTCCACACCCTCGCACCATATTTCCTTCAGTTCCAAATGTTAATTGCACAAGAGTTGGTGTATTATCTAAATTGAGTTGTGCAATTAACATCCAGTGTGGTGTTACATAAAGTAAGGTTTTATAAAGTGCGACCTTTTATGCTTTATAACAAACCATCGTCTTATGAATTGTATAATTTAATATGAATTAATTTGTTTGCCACTGATGATGACCTGTTGAGGTCAAAATGCATTTGGCACTAAGTGTCTTTTCAAGGTGTAAACAGTTTTATTTGCATGCATTTTTTATATACTAGAGCAGAGCGCTCCTTTCGGAGCTCCTCGGGGGGATTAGTCAAGTGTTCAAAAAGCAACCAACCCTTCGGGGAGGTAACCCCCCCCCCCCCCCCGAATGGAGGGTTAAAACACTTGACCAACCCCTCCTTCGGGGGGGTTGGTCAAGTGTTTAAAAAGCAACCAACCCCCACTTCGGGGGGGTTTGCGTTTTAAAATCTTGAGTAAGAAACTAAACTAACCGTTCCAAAGGGGGGTTCTTTGATGTCATCTTTAGCGTCGCCTTTCGAATTCTGACGTGCATTTTAGATTCTTTGTTTGACGGCTTCTTCTTCGTCGATCATAAATATTTGACCAATTGTTGTGTTGTTATACCAACACAACAATACCGAGTAAACAAATAACGTGACATTGTTTGATGACGTCATTTTTTGACGACAACGAGGAATCACAAATTTTTATAGTAGATAATACTGATATAACTTATTGAACATTGATTTCAGCGTCATCTCTTCTTTCAGCTATCCTGCCATATTTTTCTTTCTTAATGTCATGTATATAAACCTTGATCACTGCAGTTGGTTCTTGCTGTGTCACTATTTGTCAAGACGTGAATTGTTTTTGTACTGTGTGTAAATGTCTCTTATATAATAAAAGTATGTTATATAGATTTTAAGTTCTTTTAGTTAAATGTCATAGTTGCAGTCTGTTGATAATGGTAATAAATTTCAATATCAGACATCCATGCCATGACCACAGCAAATGTAGATAGTATCCAAACATAAATTATGCATTTTGAGGTAAACAATTGTGTAAGTTATGTCTGCTGATTATCTGTTAAAGAATTGACTAATGATGATGATCTGGGTCTTGGCGCCATGTAGACTTAACATCTGTTAAGTTTACATTGTGCCAAAACCCAGAACATCATCAATCTCACCGCTGTGAAAACCTCAAGTCTCACATGACTGAATACAGTGCCAATGCAAGGAACTTTATGTTATTAAAATTACAGCTTCATATGTGAAGTGTAGTCTATGTATGTCTTTATATATTCCAGTGGTTTCTCTGAGTTGACATTTTATGCTGCATGTTCCAGCCAGTGGATGTTGCTGGGCCAGTTTGTTTTTCTGCCAGCATTTCTTATTCACAGGAAGTTGCAGTTGCTCATATTATTGAGACATATGTCACTGATGTAAGAGGAGGGTTTGGAAACGAGTTCCCACTGTAACCTATCCAAATGAGTGCATGAATGAACATAGCATGATTCATGCATCCAAATTTTTTGATCCAAAATTAATAACAATATTTTGCAAATTTTATGCATCTATTCTTGCATATGAAAGACAACACCAACAAAAAATGTTGTTACTAATGACTGGAAGGGTCATCAGCAAGTACGATATGATTTAAAGTGTGTGGGAAGTCTTTGTATTTGTCATGATTCAGTTAAAATCATTTCATATCATTGCTGCTTGTTACATGATCTGCAGCATGTGATTAGGGCAGACAGGACACTGGCTTGCAAAATTCTATTATGTTGCTATAAATGCCTGTATTACTTTACAGTACAAGCTACTACAACATTTCTGAGCATATAGCTGTCTCCTTTCTTTTACATTTATTCACCAGTGTCATAATTCTAAATATTTTGTTTCATTATACAACCGGTTTTGCACTGCCCACTGCGCTTCATTATCATGAATGTGGACTCCACTGAGTGCTGCTTTTAAATGTCCAAAGAGTTAATAATTGGTGCCAAATTTGTGTTAGAGCACTTCCATGGACAGTTCTTTGGTTGTTGCAGCCATCACCCACAGTGTATTGCAAGCAGAGATGATCTTGGATAGCATTCAGCCATTTTTGCTTAATGGCTGGCTTCAGACACTTTCAGTATGTTTTGTTGTTTATTGTGGCTCTTTCCCATGGGAAATTTGTCACTATGAACCTATTCATATCCCAGGAAACTGTCATCCTGTCCTGTTCAGCTGATTGTGCTATTAAAACTTTCTACATACATTCTTAATCTTGGCACAATATGGAAGTGACCCTATTGAGTCCCAAATCATTATGGATATAGTAGCAGCATGATCATGCTTGAATTTTAATGTAAGTCTGCCACTTTGCTGGCTGACCTGTCGTAGTGCCTCATTACACTTCATGGCTGCAAATTTTATTGTGGAAAATGGGTAACACTGGGTGCTAGCCATGTGTTGGATTTCTTCCGCTTCTGATATATTTTGTTACACAATGAACATTGTGTGTTGCATAAATATGTAATAAAGTTCCTGGAGAAAACAGATGGTTCATATCTCAACCTTGATGCCCGCCTGCCTTCATTTTCCTTTCTATGAGGCAATGGTGATTTACTGAAGCTTGAAGATTTCTGTCTTCTGGGTTGTTGCGCTGTGTAGACTGGTCGATGTTAACCAACGTTTCAGAGGTCATACTGCCTCATCACCCTGATGACGGAGGCAGTATGACCTCTGAAACGTTGGTTAACATCGACCAGTCTACACAGCGCAACAACCCAGAAGACAGAAATCTTGATACTCACCGCTGTGAAAACCTCAAATCTTACATTACTGAAGCTTGTTGCATTGTTAGTATAGTCTCTTCCTTTGATGGAAAAAACATTAATTACAAGTGTCTGAAGAAAAATTTGTTGTTTTGCTGGTTCCATAAGTGCACAGTAAGGTCTGGACTCTGAACATGACATGAATTTTTCTGAAAGCTCAAGCAGCTGGAGCACATTTATTACAGCTTTCCATTTTACAGTAAGAATAAATAATTACAAGTCATGGTCGTCCGGATGATACAGCTCACTCAGCAACCTATATACATATGATGGCGCATGTCCTCCCCTAGAAAAGAACATGTACCTTATAGGAAAACCTTGAAAATTTAAAAAAATAAATGTACAGAGTAGTTTAATGTAACCAACAGCAGATTCAGAACTCTTCAATCGATCATGTGAATAAAGCCGAAGACTGCACTCAGAACTAGAGTAAACAGAAAGATAACTTACGTGTTGGAGATGAACAGTGTGACAAGTTCAGGGGGAACATAGTCAAACACTGGGTTGTACACGTGAACCTTTGACAGAATTGCACCATCTGAGTATTTGAGGACACCTTCTGGAGACACGAAACTATTGAATGCATCCTGATCATATGAGCATAAGTACTGTGGGCTCAGTTTGTACATTGGTGCCAACACAATCACCTACAGAACAAAATAACAGTCATGTATCAGAGCATTTAGTAATATTTATGTACCTAGCTCTTATAAGGAAGAAAAATATATGAAGCACCAAATGGAAATGTAATTCAGCTCTAATCCTTTCATAAGCACAGTGCAAATGCTATGCCTTTCCTATTGTGGCATATCTTGGAGAAAAAAGTACAGCAGTAGATTCTGCTATGTTTTGGCTAAATATTAAGGCATTAGTTTAAATGTCCCTGCCAGGCAGTGTTCATTTTCTGAAAAAGAAACTGTGATGTGGAACTTTGACATTGTGTCATATGCCATTCCTGTTTCTAGGTGCACCCACCACACTCCAATGTTATGGGTTAGCAATTTTTTATGCTAAGTCAATGTTTTTGATCCAGCGACTGGAATTAGCTCCATCCGAGGGACCCAACTGAGTAGGAAGCTTCTTCCCATGCAATTTGACAATAGAAACAGACTCACTTTCCAAAATGTATGGAAAAACGTATGATGATGGGAAATGTTCTAAATAATTATATTTTTTAATGAGTCTGTGTGCATCTCGGTCAGTTTCATTATAAAATACCACCTGCAACAATGAATGCTAACTCTGCCTGCCTAATCTTCAGATATCTCATACTACACTATCTTTATTTATTTTCACTACCGATATTTATTTTGAAGCATGTTTTCCATGATCACTTGATTTTTTCATTTTCCAATCCAAAAATAAGAGTGTATGTTATACACAAGTAAATACAGTGTATCTCCTCTCATAATATGCTGCAAAAACCTAATATAAGAATCTCAACTATGTAGGAAGAATCTGACCATGAAAAGATTAATAAAGGAGAAAGAACTGGAGATGAAACAGTTCAAAGTGATTCCAGGACAGACATTGAGAAATTAACTTAGGGGTACAATAATGCATTGAAAAAATTGGAAAAACCACACAACAATGGATGAGCTCTCTTGATCTCAATACAAATTTCTTAACTCTCAGAAGCAACATACAATGGTATCAAAGTATTGAGCCTGAATGAGAATTACACCCAATCCATGTCAACCATGGCCTTTCCAACTGTATAAGAGTAGTGCCTCAAGATGAAAATGAGAAGCAAAGCTATGTACAGAGCAGAGGTTGTTCTCAAAACGTTGACAGAAAATATGGTTTATTCACTATTCAGCCACCTGACGTGGCTTGTAACCTGAGTCTTTCATCAAAGCTATGTAAGTCAAACAACCAGTGGGTAATCCTCTGAGGTTCTAATTTTGATTCTCTTACAGGGACAGAATAATGTTTAGCAGCCAAGGCGACAATGTGGCTTCCACATACTGCTCGTAGGCCACCATTGGCCATGACAGTGTGCGTTCCAATGATGACTTTGTTGACTCGAGACATGATTGCAAATATGGCAGAATCGGCTATTACAGTTGTCTCGATCTTGCTCTTGCCTAAACTGACAGCCAATTCATGACCCTGGAACCAGAAGCATTTAACAAAATCACAACTTGTCAACTGAAAAATAGTTAAACTGCACCAACAAATACAAATCTTATGGTTCCACATCCGAAACACTATAAATGGGCTGCATGTGTACATCCATCCATTATACTATTAAGATTAGGTTATTGCAATTTTGTTTCATATTGTACTGGATGGCTTTGGATATATCTCAGAATGCCTGGACTTCAGTAACTTGCATTATGAAATTAACAGAGAAATACAATGTCTGCTGAAAGTATTAAAACACTATATAACCAAATATTTGGCTGTACATAGTTTTAGTTCTTAGTACTCCAACAGTTCATTTCATTTATTTAAAAATGGATGATTTAATAAGATATTCTCTGTTAATTATACATTATATAGGTGTATTATTTATATTCCATGACATTCACATAAATTTCTTTCCTCTTTATGAACTTTTAAATGACACATTTATTTGAATTTTAAGACTCATTTTATTACAATAAATGTTTTTTTCATAATTAGAATATTTATTGTGAACAATCGAGTCCTAAAATGCACCCCATTGATAGCAAGTGCTTTTAATACTTGTTCTTTAATATTACTCTCCCACCTGACCTAGGTTTTCCTCATGGCCTTTTTCACTGACACTCACTGATCAACATTCTGTATGTCTGTATTAATTTCCAGACCAAAATCCCTTCTTGTCTTTAATCTGTTAAATGCTTTATTCTTTATATGGTATTTATATGTGTTTAATAAATTTAATCGGTTTATGTATATCATTAGTCTGCAGTCTCACAAAATGAAAATTCACTGCAGACACCTACACAGTATCTGAGATACTCACTCGACAAAAGGGTGCACATTCAGCAACAATGACCTCAAATTTCCTCTCTGTAGCAGCTTTTTTAAGGAAGGCTTCTACTGATGCTGATTTCCCTAAAGTCATGATAATCTCATTTGAGTGGATGTGCTGCCTTGCTTGCTGAGCAATGTTGTCAGCACTGCAATGAAAACAAGGCTATATCAGCTGATTCTAGAGCCTACCTGTTACAACTAGCAGACTTCAATGAATTTAATCACCATGAAAGCTAAGATCAAACATCAATGACAATGAGAACAAGAATTCAGTGGCTAGTAGAAGAATATTAAATTTCTCTCCTTTTCATGTCTGCCATCATTGTAATGATTTTCTTCTGAATGTAAAATGTTTTTGTTATCTGTTGAGCTTCAGCAGAATATAATTCCATATGACATGATGGAATGGAAGTATGCAAAGAATAATTTTAACTGTTTAACTTTTGAATATTTAAGTCATTCTGGGAAAGCTCCTGTTGTCAACGACTGACTGCAAAGATAACTTAAATTAACACTAACATTGTCTGTCCAGCTTTTGATTAAAATTGCTGATATTTCATCATAACCACATGATTTTTTTGATGTGAGAAAATGTATTATACTTTTAATTTAATTTACTGTTGTGGGCATCAGTTTTATATTTGGAATGGTTTTAGGGATTGCTTCAGAAAGGTACTTTGTTGTGTCTTCTGTTGTTAAGGTTGTTGTATGTATTAAGAGAAACTGCTAAGAGTTTAAGATTTTTTATTGCATTATCATTTATCTTTTTGCTTATTTCCTTGAACAGCATCAACAAGTTGTCTTTGTAACGGTTATGGGTTGTGTTTTCTTTGAGGTATGGACTGAATTCTTTAGATGAACTTTGGCTTCAGAGTGTTAATTCAGCAGTAACAAAGCTGTGGCACCAGCAATCTTGAAGCTTTGATGTGGGAGCTATGTTTTGTCTCCCTGAAAAGGACGCTGTTGGGCTGCACCTGAAGAAACTCACTCACAGATAACCCAAACACATATTTAATACTCTGTCTCTGTTGGTGAACTCAATCAAATTAATAGCATATTCAGTTGACACTGGCTACACACAGACACTAGTATGGTAATCTTCTCACCTTACATGATGGCACATAACCTTTGTAGTTTATAATTGATGACACAAAGATCAGAAATAGTATACTTTAAGAGAGAAACTTGACATGTTAATTAGCAGTAAAAATAATAATGATGACAATACCTTGTTTCCAGCTCCATTTCAAACTCTCCAATGTGTTCCATGATGGACGAGCGGAGATCTGGCAGTAGCTTGCTGTAGTCATCTACCACATCCCCTTCTGATGTGACAATCTTATGCAGCGACTCCTGGGCATCTACATCCTCTTGCTTGTTCTGCAAGTAAACTCACTGTGATCCAGGTTTTCTGTCACCATATTGATGTCCACTTTCCAAAACACTTAATATTAATATACCCACACACACATATATGTATGGTATATTTCATTACATTGGTATCACTGACTTCTAGTATAACGAATATACTTGACATAACATCTGGGGACAAGGGAGATGAGAAAAGAAGCACTGTCAATGTAAATAAGCCCTGTGAACATGGCAAGTAGTGATTACTATATTGTACCTGCTGGGTGGCTACATATTCCTCACGGATTATCTTCAGGACCCGTCTCACCATGTTTCCTACCGACGCTTGCATTGGAAGTGACCTGGTTAGCTTCCGGCCTTCTGCAGTGATCAGTACCATGAGCTCTCTGCAAAATTAGAATGTGGTCTCAGACATACCAAACCACCACCTCTACAAAATTACTAAATAGGCATTCCACTTGGTTTAACCACTTACTGTGCCGTTTGCCAGTCTCCATTGACAATTACGTCCTTCAGCAAATTGACTGTGTTAAATGCTATGTCATACGAACCCCATACTTTTCTAAAACAAAGACAAGCATATGATGTGAATGTACAATGTAAACAGAGCCAACAAAGTTAGTATTATTGCCATAACAGTAAACTTTAAATGCAAGGGAATTTCGAACAAATTAATTTTTTTATTCATAGACAAATCAGAATTATAAAGGAGTGTTCTGGTATAAAACATAACATAACCTATTTGATCGCTTTCATACGAGCAAGGCAGAAAAAAAACTTACCCCTGCTTAATATCATTTATAAACTTGTTTCTATTTTCCTCTGTTTTATTAGAATTCTTTGCCATTATTACAATTTTAAAATATGAAAATATTTATAATTAACATGTAAACAGATATTGCATCACCCACAACCACCACATGTTCATCTATGCCAATTCCGTTTGTCACTGTTGCCAAAGTCGCAAACGCAGAGATCTCATATGTCCCTGACGAAATCAAATAGTCCGTAATGGTTTATAATTTGATTTTGTGCTCTATGTGATACCGATGCCTGCAGTGAAATATACGAAAATAACTTTTGAGTACTGCTTGTGACAGTAATATAAAATTAACTTCGACATATAACAACCGTAACAACTGAGAGAGAATTCAAGTATACATTTAAGATATTTGGAACTTATTCCACGTGGAGGTTATGTTCAACATATTCACAAAACAACTGGAACACGGGGATTATTGTAACCACGGGCATATGAATATTAGAGAATTCTCGTCTTATCAGACGTGGTAGTTTTTGGGTAATTTACTTTTTGTTTGGCATAACTTGCAACAATATATGCGTTCATGTGTACGGGTGCCCTCCGAATTCTAGTTTTTATTTTGTTCTGGGTTGCGCTCCTCGAGGTTAAAACGCCTGTTTTGCCACAGTCGATGCCCTTATTTAGCGGTATGTTTTCATGTTTTATTTTGGGTCAGGTTAAGTTGGCTTTGTTTAGTGTAGATAGGGAGGAGCACTGCTTGAACTTTCCATAAATTTAGTTATCTGGGTTAAAATCACTATATTTTTGCCTCGTCTACTGAATACGGCACAAATTTACATAACAATATTAATATTTACTTTAGCAAAATTAGAGTGCTTGGAAATGATAGACCAAATTAAACTGCTGCTCTGCAGTTCTTTAAGAACCTCTGCCACCTCTTTATATTGAGCTTTTTTATAAGAAACTTTAATGGGGTGGAATCATTAGCACAATGTCCAGCCCTCAACTTGGGGGACTGGTGGATTATATTTAGTCCGACTCCTGTCCTTTGGCTTGGGTGACCCTACTGGCAGGTTATACTCCACCAGCATAGCTCTCAGGATAATAAGATCTTCCAGGCCTTCCTACTTGCAACATGTATTTTGTCAAGGTGGTAGTTCTTGGGGGATAAATTAAAATTAATACAATGAATTATGATGGGTCAACTAAAAGGAAATGGAATTACAAGAAAAACAAAAATATTACAAATATCATATTTAGTAAAGTGTGCCTATTGTATGGCATGATTTTAATAATGAATATCAGGAACCAATACAGTATAATTAAAGTTATCACTAATTTACTCTCAACTGAATAGTATGATTTTTTGAAATGTGGGTGTGACATTTGGTTTCTGTTTCTGGGTGGAGAGAGAATTTGAAAAGAATGTATGTAGAAAGATAATTTGACTGAAGAGAGATGAAAGTAGAGACTAGTGACAGTTGCAATGTAACTTCATAATTATTATGCTGAACCCAATTTTGCAAAGATAATGAAATGGCCAAAGCCTATAGCAAACTTCAGGGAAATGAGAAATGCATATAAATTTTGGTCTGTAAGTATCAAGGGAAAGGCTACTAGGAGAAATAAATATTGGTGAGAGCATAATATTAACATGGATTTGAAGTACTGGTCTGGAGGTTGTAGCATGTATGCTTATGAGTTTATGAAATTGGTGACAGACCTATTAGATTCAAGAAAGCAGAAAACCGAAACTATTTTGTATAAATTTAATTCTTTGTCTATCAAATAATGTTGCTCAAACACATGTCAGTATTCTAATTAAAAACAGGGACTGTCACTGTCTTCAAAGTGTATTCAAAAACCTCGTTATGGTACAAAAGTTTACCTTTAATGGCCATGTGTCACATGTCGCAGCTTACAGGGAGTCCAGATGTGTTACAGTGGCATACCTTTAAACTTTTAAATCCAAAGTCTAGCCTGCAGCATATTTGTTACAGCTGTTGACCTTATGGGTCCCTTTGGTTCCTGAAAGGAAGAACTGAGTGTCTTATTCCAGTCACTGTTAGAACCGCATGCATCCCTAAGTGTCATGTTGCCTGCGCGACATAGGAGCATGGTTTTGATGAAGAAGATCACCAGGGGAACACACAGAAAAGTGAATTATGTGTCAAAGCTTTTTCAGCCTCAGAATGTTGTTCCAAAAGACAACAAGGTGAAGAATGAAGACTGTCTTTCAAAGAGCCAGAAGGTGGGATTGTTTGTTTCATGCCTTAGAACCCACTTCTACTGTGCATGGTCTTCCCTGAGCACTTGTTAGACAAGAGATGGAATCTGAGTAGTTTATGATATTCATAATTGTACCTTTTCCTGAGCCACTTGATTACCATCCATGTCTTCCCACCATAATTCTCTGATTTCCATTCTTGTATTATTTTCATACCTGTTCAGCCTCACCCTTGCTCTCTCCCATACAGGTGTTTTAACCAATTTTTTTTTAAAAAAATTTCTTATGGCCTCAATGCATGCTGCATGTCTAGCTTGTGTCAACATTCTCATCCTTTGATTTGATCACTCAAATGATGTTAGGTGAGGAGTATAATTCTACAAAGTGAAGTAAGAGTGGCTTGGCATTTGTTGACATACAAGTTTGTTTATACACATTTATAAATGTTGTGTGGCATGTGTTTTTTGTGATTATCTGTCTGTGTGATTGCCTGAAATAATTAGGCTCACACTTGACAGGTGTTTACAAAATTTGACATTGGAGGTATGTGCTAAACAGTTTGATGTGAAGCTACATTAATCCTTTAGTTTTTCCAATAAACAAAATAAAATCATGTCAAAATATATTGGTGCAATGCAATGATTTTCATGTGCATGTAAAAAAAACATTGTTATTGTATTTGCACTAAACTGCATGTTTGTGTTGGGAATGGTGTCATTGTTGACTGCAGCCACTGTTCTTGTGCTGCAGCTGATGCTAGATTTGGGTGTGATTCGTCAGGCAAGCGCTGGGGCATTCCACATGCTTCCACTCAGTGAACGTTCCTTGCAAAAGTTGATAAGCATTGTAGATGATGAAATGAGTAAGATCGATGCACAGAAACTGATGCTGCCCCTTCTGACCCCTGGAGAGCTATGGAAAACTACAGGTCAGATTGCAACATGTGGATTTTGGAAATTATTGACATTACTTTGAGTTACATTGAGTTACTGAATCGGTGAGACAACATGAGGAATTGTATTGTTACAGGTCGCTGGGAAGATGTGGGGGAAGAGCTCTTTACATTGAAGGACCGCCATGACAAGGAGTTTGTGCTTAGTCCAGTAGGTAACCAGAAATATTTTAAAGTGAGCCATATTTGTTCATTCTTCACATTTTGTTTCCTTTACTGCACTGTATATAAAGAGGGAGTGGAGGTAAAAGGGTAAAGCTGCCCCTCTGTGCGCCATGTAGGCACTTGGGGGGTGAGGTTATACACCCACTGTCCATATATTGCAGACACATGAAGAAGCAGTGACAGATCTAATAGCATCAGTACCACAGCTGTCCTACCGACAATTTCCCCTGCGTCTTTACCAAGTGTCCAACAAGTTTCGGGATGAGATGAGACCAAGATTTGGGCTACTTCGTGGAAAGGAGTTTATAATGAAGGATCTGTATACTTTTGATGTGTCTCAGGAAGCAGCCAGTGAGACTTACAAGGCAGTGAGTGAAGCTTATGAGAACATATTCAGGAGAATAGGTATTCGATATCTCAGAGGTGAGGCAAATTAGTTGTAGTTGGCAGCTTGTTTTTTAGCCCCCACTAACTTGCTGGTCAGGGTGTTAACACATTGACAGCATAAATGCAATTTCCTGATTCTGTGGCTTATTAAATAAATAACAGGAGTAGAGTGGTTTTATTTGTATGCTGCATTAGATTTGAAAGCTTGTAGTTATTTTATTTCTATATATGTGTCAGTAACTGATGGGTTTATGCACTGCTGATATGTTAGGGATGATGATAAAATATTATCTTAATATATTAAACAGGAACAGAAGACAAGGAAATTAAAAATAAATAACAATTTTTTCACATTTTTGAGAACTTTGGTGATTGTAGAGTTGGTGTTCCTGAACAGAGGAGAGTTTCCCCAAGATATTGCACTCTGTGTAACAGTTCTGCCTAGTTTGAAACAAAACTTGGTGCATGAATACTGTTATTTAACATGTGTCTTTTTTAAGTGAAAAGTCATGGATGACAATAAACACAATCTTGCTTTGACATCTCACATCAGAATGACATGTTTATTTAAATTCAGTGGCTTATATTTTACCATCATCTAATACAGGAATCCTGCCAACTTAAGTAATATCATCTTGAAGCCAGTCAGAAATATTTTTAAGATTGATTTTATATGCTGGTATTGTAAGCTGTTGCAGTTTGTGTCTCACTGTTCTATGCAGTTTCAGCTGCCGCTGGGATCATGGGCGGGTCCATCTCCCATGAGTATCACTTCCTAGCCACTACTGGAGAAACACAGCTACTTACCTGTGAATCTTGTGGTTACGGGACCAGTGCAGAGAATAGTGTCACACATGACTGTCCAGCATGTGGTCACAGCTTTCTACAGTGCAGACCTGGAATTGAGGTAATGGTGTGTCACACCCATTTAACAGCTGATTTATTTGCAGTAGTTTCAGGATAGCTGTGGTAAGTTGTTGTGATTTTTTCAGGTTGGCCACACCTTCCTCCTTGGAACAAAGTACTCACTGCCCCTGAAGGCCAAGTTTACAACAGCAACAGGAAAATCAGACTTCCTGCAGATGGGAAGCTATGGCCTGGGTATGACACGCATTCTAGCTGCTAGTGTTGAGGTGCTCTCCCTGCCAGATCAAATAAGGTGGCCCATTGCTCTCGCCCCATACACTGTGTGCATCATTCCACCAAAGGTCAGGTAACTGGCAGCACTGATCATACCAAAAACTACCATTGGTTCCTATCCAATCCTTCTTCTGCATGGGTTAATTTACTAGGACCTATTCTTCATACCATGTAGTTGCATGTCGCTATGCCAGATGCATTTAAGCTCTTTGGGGCTATCCCCAATGGCTCTGTGTTTGGTTTAACTTTACATGTTAAAATATATCTTAAAAATTTTAAAATGTCACAATTAAGTTCTATTACACATTAAAATCAATTAATGTAAGGCAAATATAAGCTAAAATACAGTATGCACCTAGCATCAGCCATTGTGCTACCTTGTATCTTAGAATATTGTTATAGTTTTTTCGGTCGTATCTTCCAGTGATTTGAAGTGTTTTGTAGTTGCATTTTTTGTCACATGGATTAGATGATTGTTTTAGTCTGTGGTGAGGTGATTAGCTCTTCATGTTGGTGGTGAACTTCCATTTTTATTATACTAGTGAATGATCAGTATAGTCAGCATATTTATAAAATTTTGAGTCAAAGTCTTACCAACTCATTTATTATTAACATGTAAGGTTGAACCAAACCTAGAGTCACTGAAGATAGCCCTATGGGGAAGAAATACATCTGGCATAATGCATTGTAAATAATGCTCATTAGTGGTAAAAGTGGATAGTAAGTTATGTTTTGGTTAGGGCCTATTCTGAAATCACCGAGAAACATTGCAGAAGCAGTCATCACATCTCCTTGCTGGTTTTTCTCTCTTTCTGT